TACATAAGGGGGGATAGATCTACATGTATAAATACATAAGGGGGATATGATCTCCATGTATAATACATAAGGGGGTAGTATGATCTCCATGTATAATACATAAGGGGGGATATGATCTCCATGTATAATACAGAAGGGGGGATATGATCTACATGTATAAATACATCAGGGGGGATATGATCTCCATGTTTAATACATAAGGGGATATGATCTCCATGTATATGTATACATAAGGGGGGATATGATCTCCATGTATAATACATAAGGGGGATATGATCTCCATGTATAATACATAAGGGGGGATATGATCAACATGTATAAATACATCAGTGGTTCATATAGTGAACTCGGTGTAGAGTTATTCACCCTGAGGTCATCACAGAGGACAAGGGGGCACTCTTTATGTCTGGAGGAAAAGAAATTTAATCTCCAAACACAGAAAAGGTTTCTTCACAGTGAGAGCTGTCAAAATGTGGAATCGACTCCCTCAAGAGTTGGATTCTGGCCAGCTCAGTGGATTGCATTAAAAAAAGTCCTGGATTCTTTCTTAGATACACAGAATATAACTGGATACTAACATTTATAGGTAAAGTTGAGGGAATATCCGATTACCTCTCGGGGGATCAGGAAGAAATTTTTTTCCCAGCAGGAGCAAATTGGATCATGCTTTACTGGGTTTTTTTCTTTGCCTTCCTCTGGATCAACTGTAGGTATAGGATTATAACTTTTTTTTTCTAAGGGTGAACTGGATGGACGTTTGTCTTTTTTCAGCCAGACTAACTATGTAACTATGTAGAGAAGACAGGATCTAATGGCCCTTTTACACAATGCAGAGGATTAACCCCTTAGGTTCCACAGTGAGTATAACAGGAATGCTTTACTGCATATACAGACTGATTTCACTGTTGTGGGTTTAGTAACACTTTAAACAAGAGACACAACTCTCTGCAGAATCATTCACTGCTAATTGCTCAAGCAGTACTGCCATTGAAACAAATGGATCCATTTCCAAATGCTGTTCTTGTTTTGCCGCTTTCCTGACCGCATTGGCTGACCTTCTGTGTTTATAAATCAGCGATCCAGAGGCGTCAGGCAGAAAAAAAAAGTTGAAGTGGTCTTGGAAGGATGAGGTAAAAATGCCAACTTTTGAGAAAAGAACAACAAGAAACTTGCCAGACTCTTACAGAGGAATTCTGTACATTCTGTTATAGAGAAGTACTAATGCCATTTTTTTCTTCGTAGGATTTGGTATGGAGCTTTTCCAACGGTTAGGAAACAGTTGAATTCTGAGGACAATTTTGACCATCAAATAAGCTTTCATAGCAGGGACGTTCAAGTCAAACCAGGACTTTTGAGTTTATATAATAAAATAACAAATTTCAAGGAATGGAAACTGCATTTATTTTTTTGACATACTCCCCTGCTACATTCATACACTTATCCCAGCATTTTGCTGATGCCTGGAAAGCTTCAGCATAGAAAGATTTGTCAGTACACCTGAACCATCCTAGGACAGCCGGCTTCACTTCGTCGTCATTGTGTTCACCGTTCCCATAGAAAGATTTGTCTCTTGTGCAACTTCACGACGGGTTATGTGTTGGTTATCCACGATCAGGCGTTCCATGCGCTGAATGTTCACGGGAATGACTACTGTTGGCTGGGAACCACCATGGCCAGAATCGTCACTGATGAACGTACGGCCATCTTTGAATCATTTACACCATTCAAATGTCATACTGCGGCTGAGCATCTCATCACCGTACTGTGCTTGAAGTCTTCTGTAGATATCCGCGGGTTTTACTCCTTCATTCACAAGAAACTTCATCACCAAACGCTGTTCCATGCATGCACTAGCACTGTTGGCTGCCATCCTGACTAAGGGCCTCTGGACTGGCCTGGGACATGTGCACTGCCTATCAATAATAGGACACACTAATCACTTACCACGATGTGTAGTACCACCATGATAGCATCCCTTTTTTTAAATTAAAAGTCCCGGGTTGAACACCCCTTCAACGCCCCTCTTATATAGGTTAAAATGGAAGAAAACACATGTCGGAATAACCATTCTGAACCTTTATAATTAGGCTCTTATATTACCAATGTGGTAGCATTAATTTGTGATGGTCTGTCTACAGAACAGCTTTTTTTAGCCAGGTTCCCCCAGGGGTTCCTTAAAGTGTTATTAAACCCACAACAGTAAAATCAGTCTGTATATGCAGTAAAGCATGCTTGCCATACTCACTGAGTTAATCCTCTGCATTGTGTAAAAAGGCTGTTTGATCCTGTCTACTCTGATCCTTCCCTTCTTCCACACTCCCCAATCCATCTACTGATAGTACAGAGCCCAAGGAGGCACTCTGCACATGTTCAGTTTTGTGTGTATTGCTAGAGAGTTTTTTTGGGAGGGTGCATGTGATCAGCACAGCACAGGGCCAATCAACACTGTCCAGACAGAGGGTCAGTGGTCATGCAGCATCATAGGACAGTCAGAGAAGAATGAAAACTCCTAAAAGCTTTAACCAGTGCTTGGCCAGACACTGATAGAAGTCACAAGACTGCTCTAACTGCTGATAATAAAAGGTATTTAGCAGTTTATATTTACTAAAAGAATTGCATTTCCATGTTCTGTGTACTGTGGAAGACCAGATTTAGTGAATGCAGGGTCCTGGGTTTAGTAACACTTTAATCAGGGAGCAATGGTTGATACACCTCCCACATCTACAATGACCATCAATGTAATGGGGCAATTTTCAACCGATAACCAGTGTAAGGGGCCACTTCTACAATCACTAGAACTGTAAGAGGGCACTTCCATGACCACTAATCTAAGAGGACATCTCTACAATGACCAGAAATGTAAGGGAACATTTCTAAAATGACTAGAAATATAAGGGGACACTTCTACTACAACCATAAATGTAAGGGAGCATGTCTACAATGTAAGGAGGTGCTTCTACAATGACCAGAAATGTAAGGGGGCACATTTACAATGAACAGTAATGTAAGGGCACGTCTACAATGACCAGAAATGTTAAGGTACACTTCTACAATGACTAGAAATATGAGAGGGCACTTTTTAACAACCAGATAGGTAAGGGGCATGTCTATATTGATAGGGGGCACTTCTACAATGACAAAAAATTTTGGGGGCAAGTCTGCAATGACCAAAAACGTAAGAGGCCACTTCTTCAATAACCAGAAATATAAAGGGGCATATCTACCATGATCAGAAACGTAAGGGAACATGTCCACAATGACCAGAAACGTAATGAGGCATGTCTACAATGACCGGAAACGTAATGAGGCATGTCTACAATGACCGGAAATCTATAAGGGAACGTTTACAATGAGAAAAAAATGTAAGGAGACACTTTTACAATGACCAGAAATGTAAGGGGGCACATCTACAATGACCAGAAATGTATTGAAGCACTTCTACAATGACCAGAAAAGTAATCGGGCATGTCTACAATGACTAGAAATGTAATGGGATATATCTACAATAACCAGAAAGTAAGGGGATACTTCTGCAATGACCATAAACGTATTGAGGCACATCTACAATGACCAGAAACATATTCAGGTACATCTACAATCACCAGAAATGTAATGGGACATGTCTACAATGACTAGAAATGTAATGGGCATGTTTACAATGACCAGAAATGTAAGAGGCCACTTCTTCAATAACCAGAAATATAAAGGGGCACATCTAAAATGACCAGAAAAGTATTGAGGCACATATACAACGACTATTAGCGTAATGGGGCATGTCTACAGAAATGTAAAGGGATACTTCTGCAATGACCAGAAACGTATTGAGGCACATCTACAATGACCAGAAACGTAATGGGACATGTCTACAATGACAAAATGTAATGCGGCATGCCTACAATGACCAGAAATGTAATGGGACATGTCTACAATGACAATAAATGTAATGCGGCATGCCTACAATGACCAGAAATATAAGGGGATACTTCTGCAATAACCAGAAACGTATTGAGGCATGTCTACAATGACCAGAAATGTAATAAGGCATGTCTACATTGACCAAAAATGTAATGGGGCATGTCCACAATGACCAGAAATGTAAGGGGATACTTCTGCAATGACCAGAAACGTATTGAGGCACATCTACAATGACCAAAAATGTAGTGAGGCACATCTACAACGACCAGAAATGTAATGGGGCATGTCTACAATGACCAAACATGTAAGGGGGTACTTCTGCAATGACAAGAGATCTAAGGGGTTACTTTTTCATTGACCAGAAAGGAACGAGGGCACATCTAAAATAACTAGAAATGTAAGGGGGCACCTCTCCACAAGTGGAAGGGGACACTACAGTTTTCACAGTTTTTTGACAGTATATTTTGGCCATTATTTTGTTATCTAGAGCTAATGTATAGTAGATTTCACCTTTTAGCAGGTGTTCCCGGGGAGCTGAAAACTATTTCAAGGGTTTCACTAGGGTAGAAAAGTTGAGAAATGCTGCCATAGAACAAACGTAAGCTAGCCATACACTAATAGATTATTGTATGTATGTTCTCATTTGTACTTTTGATTACATTTTTTTTGATGACAGAATGTTGTTTGAAAGTGCTTAAAAAAATTGCTTGCTTTAAACACTTGATTTTGGAGTGAATGGACTTTCCCAAACGAAAACCTCAAACTGTAACTAATTTGTTGGTTCCAGAAAATTTTTTCATCCTGCTCTTTCGAGTTTTGTCGTGATTTCGGTTGAAAACAAACACCGATTTGAGCCCACTAATGATTAAACAATTGAATGAATGCTCTAAAATGAACATTTGTGTCCAAAATTCTTCTAATGTATGGCCAGCTTTAGACCTGTAGCATAAGGAAGTTTTGTAGGGACAGTATACCACCCTGTGTTTCCCACAACCCTTAACAACGATAATAAGTATTATGTTTCAGCCTCAAAATAGGACAAGGAAACAGATATATACAGAAGTATACAGAATCCGGCAACATACCTGCATAATGAACACATGTCCTCCCGCCGTTGTCTGTGCATTCCGTCGGACATTTGGACTGTGAAAGAGCAAGACTGTGCATTTCAGTAATCAAAATATAGGCTTGAGGAAGAGTGAAAGCAATAAAAGTTCAACATAACCTATCTGTGCTATAAAATGTGTGGGATTCATTCCTTTCTGCGGGTAAGCCATAGAGAATATGGTGAGTGGCCTTTGCATTGTAGTTTCCAGCTTAGTGCAAACATGCCTGGAATGTGAAGATTTTTGGAAAGGTCAGATGTAGCACACCTTTACCGATCAATCTATGCTGGATGGAGGTTGCACAAATACTCTCTTCTCAGGTTTGCACACGTCAGGGTCAACGTATGTGGAACATCTGCATGGGGAGCCCGGATCCATCCACCAACTCAGTATTATACAGGGTGGATTATTATGGTTACTTTGCTAGGTTTACTGAAAGAGAAATGTAAGCTAAGTGTCTTTCATTGTATTCAAGAATGCATAGGCTTTGCTAAAATAAAATCTACATCCTAAACATTTTCTTTTAACTATTTCGAATAGAATGGAGCATGGTTAATGTTTTGAATAATTTTCCCAGTTGGAGTAAATTGGACCCATAAGAGTTATTCTGCCCTCCTCTGGATCAGATTTTTTTATGGAATTCATTTTTCTGTTGGTTGAACTTCAAGAGTTAGTTCACCTTTGAAAACGCCTATGCAATTAAAGTGGATCTTTCCCCCCTTTCACTTAGGCATCATGTACACTGGGCATTTACTTTTCTCCTCTGAACGCCAGAAGGCCTGGCAGGAGAAAAGCTGCTTAAAAACTGCATATAGCACAGACGCATTTAGGCACGTGACGCATTTGAGCGTTATCGAATTCTGTTGGCCAGATTATTAATTTTGTCCATTGGAATCCATTAAGATTGAAATGCACTTAAACGTTTCTAAACCATTTGGGCACATTCAGTGTTTTTTCTGCAGTTTAGCTCATTTCCTGAATAGATTTTTTTTAAAATAATAATAATCTTAATAAATAATAATAATAAAAATAGACTCTTCTAATAGACCTGTAAATAGGCCTCTAAATATCACATCAGCAGCATGCATACTTTTTCTTTACATGGTAGATACTTGTATGGCAAACGAAATGGCAATGGCAGTGTCACCATTTACATTATGGATCTATGGTGTGCTGGTGACATATGCTCATATCTATGCTGATACCAGTCAACGTGCTGGTAGTTGTTACAACACTGTCCTTCTTCAGGCTCTGTCCAAGGACATGTGCCATTGGAATATACTGAGTGATCTATTGGAAGATTTTCTGTTCTAGTGACAACTGAGAATTTTGGATTTTTCCTCACAGTAGTAGTCATGAGGACAAACAGACATTAAATCTCCTTAATAGGGACACAGACAACAAGAACATTCCAACAGAAATTGTAACATTTGCCCACTCCATCTAGAAGCTATTGAAGCCATTGACAACAAGGAAACTAGCATTTTTTTTATTAAATGGGCATTGGACACCTCCATAATTCTCTCAGTACAGGTTTTTTTTTTCCTTTTTAACTTCAATGGACCATGGCTAAAACTCCAGTCCTCCCCAGTTAAAGGGGAACTATACAGATGAAAATTGGAAGAACCTTAGATTGGTGGTTAGTGGGAAAAGGACCATCTTAAATTGGTGGTCAGCGGAAGAAGGACCTCCTTAAACTGGTGGTCAGAGGGAGAAGGACCTCCTTAGATTGGTGGTCAGTGCGAGAAGGACTTTCTTAGATTGGTGGCCAGTGGGAGAAGGACCCCCTTAGATTGGTGGTCAGTGGGAGAAGGATCCCCTTAGATTGGTGGCCATTGGAAGAAGGTGGTCAAGGGCTGAAATTGCTCATCTTTCAATGAACCCCTAATGTACTCTGGAGGAACCCTAGGGTTCCACAAAACCCTGGTTGAGAAAGACTGATCGAGATCAATAAAGTTTTTGGATGATGCTACTGTATATGTATGCAGTATGTGGCTAGGTTTTTCATATGATGGATAAAGTGTAACTATAACGTCTTCTCTTCTAAGATTTACATGTAAAAATGGTCAGCGTGATGTAAATAATCTTATGAGTACACATTAAAGCATACCTAATGCCAAAACTTTCTCTACGGTAAAAAACAAAATATATACTGTATATATGTTTTAATTTGTGTCTACATGTTACTGAGTATCCAGTTATCTTTATGAAGCAGAGACTGAAGTGATGGTCAGTATACCTGGAGAAGCCTTTTGACGCACTCTATGTGGTTATGTTTCACAGACAAGTGTAGAGCAGTGTGACCTAGAAAACAATAGAAGTAGAATTATTTTGATAGAAGGATACAGTACATGCAATTAATGACGTTTTGTTTTTTAAATTGTCAACAAAAAATATATATTGTGAGCCATTTTTTTTTTTTTAAAGGTCTGCATGGGGTTGCACAGGTGTTTCATACATCCCTGATCAGACAGTCCCATTCATGTCTATTGGGATGCAGCTGCTGCTCCCAATCTGACATCCAAGAGGGTGCACGTCCCCAAACACACAGACCACATGCATAAGGACTATGCACCTGCAACTCCATGGATGCCAAATTGGGAGCAGTGGCTGTGTCCGTGAGGCCGCAGCGCCCCAACTGACATGAATTGGGCTGCCTGCATGGCGGGTAAACATGGCCCTCATAAGAGCGCATGCTGTAGTATGCCTGTGTGAACAAGGCCTAATGAATTCTATTTTTCTGAAAATGCCTGTTGAAATTGCCAGTGACTTCCTATTGCTTGTTGGAGATGCCAATGATCTGCAGGATCAACATCCTTCTAGACCAGTGGTTGTCAACTTACAAACTAAGGGGGGACTCAAATGCAGCCCCTGACATCATCAAAGGCCCACACATATTGTTCAGTATATGTAATGGTTGAGAGGTTTGTCAGAAACCTCAGACCTAATAGAGGAAATGAGGGTCAGAGAGTGTGGAGATGATACATTTTTGGCTGGGGACATGCTGCAGAAGGCAATAAAAAACTAGGAGCTCAATACATGAGGCTAGTAGAGATCAATGCTATAACCCAATCAATATTCTCAATACAGACTGCTGAGGTCCAATGTACCAAAGGGCCACAGGCGGCCCTCGGCGTGCAGAGTGGGCACCAGGGCTCCATACCTGTGTGCAATGCTTCAGGGTGTCTACTGCTTACTCTGCTTTCTGATCTGAATAGCACAGACAGCGGGAGGATGTGATTGTAATGACAGAAGGAGCCAGGGTCAATCAGACTATTTTACCTGCCCAATCCGGCAGTGTTGCTGGTGACACAGGCATGTGGGAGTCTATTGGGGCATGTAAGAATGTTTGATTGACACTGGGTCCTCCTATTCCGGAGCCTAGTCCTCACCACTGTGATTGACAGCAGCTTCTGAATGGCTTCTGCAGTCTCCACCCCCAGCCCGCCAGAGCAGAGGGGAACGGAGTGGTCACATGACTTTAAAAGCTCTAATAGAAGGTAATTGCAGAGGATTTGAGCAAAAACGAGGCAACATTCTTAGTGACAGGGCCAGGTATATTTTTATTTGTTTTACTAGCCTTGCATTTACGTACAGTTTACTTCACGGTTTAGCATTAAAATCACGAATTAGGTTTCAGTCATGTGACCGTGCCTAGGTTAGAAGTAAAAATGACCAAATCAGTCTTCTGTATAAAAGAGAAAGGCATTACTCAGTCCATCCTCCCCTAGTGATCACTCACTTGGACTGTACACTTTAACAAGGTGAGAGGCAGTGGCAATGGGCTGATCTGTGTACAGCAATGTTACTCAAAGACAAGCAGGCAAAGGATTCTGTGCATGCAGTGGGATTTACATGATTGCATTATTCCTGATTCAACATCTTAGTCTAAGAAATAGATACTGACACCGGAGGATATCAGAATTAAGAGATCGCTTCATCATTCTGGGGAGAAAAATGTGCATGAGAAACACACCTGTATGTATTATACTTACACACATGTACACTTGTGACATGAAAAATACATATTGTATGATGATGGTTCTCTTCATTGTCTTTATAACCACAGTTGCCAAGTCATTTTTTAAGTTACGGAGATATCTAAATTATAAAGGTTCTCTTGCTAACTCGACTCAGTCAGGCCTTCTTTGGATATAATCAGCCAGATAGTCTATTAATGCATACTTCTCAGTATTCGAAGGGACCACCCCAGGTAATAACCAATCCCCCAACATCTGCAACATTCAGCATGTCACGTTCTGGCACCACCATCATTCGGATATCAAAATCTCAAATAAAATGGGGGGGTGGGGGGGAGATAAGGCGAAGTCAGGGCCACACACTAGTAAAACGTCAAATTATTTAATGAAATAGGAGACTTGATTTTATGAGTCTAGGTTTACAATTTAGAATTAAACAATGGCATTTTTATTATATTTTATACTTGAAACTGTAGACAAAACCCCTGAAAAGCACCATCGGTACCACATGTGGATAATGTAAAAGCTCATAAATTGGGGGATAATAAGCTTTCTGTAGGGAGTCAAGAGCCACAAAAACTTTGAAATTTTCCACCTGCTCAGTTCCTAGCTGCTTCGCTGCTCCATGTGCATTCATTTTCAATGCTGTTAACTCCTGAGCTAGCCAAAGATGGAACAACATTTGGCCAGTTCAGTAGGGACTGGCTAAATTTCGATCCATCTATGGGCAGGCTGTTTTCACAGAAGGTAATCTCCTGATCGACTTCTGTACAACCAGCCTGTTTGAAAAATTTTTCTCAATCAGTGCTGCAGGCTATAGCCACCAGCGCTGATGAGTGTATTCTGATGGTGGGGAAGCCTCCCTGCTGTCAATACAATTGCTTCTCAAGAGAGATTCCCCAATCCACAATAAATGTGTTGATGGGGGAATCAATTCATTTTCTTTTGTTCAATTCGCTGGTTAAACAAAATAGAATCATGTATTGCCCACTTTAGGGTTCATTTAAACTTTCAGTTGGGGGGAAGAGTTGTTAAAAAACACACACAGTTGAGCCATGTTTTTAGTGCCCCCAACTGACGCACAATTGGTAGTCTCTCTGCAGAGGTCCAACCCTGCTGATGTCAGCACTATTCTGAAGGACGAAGAATTGTTTTCTCCATAACATAAAAGCTTCTGGATAGAGGATTGGTTGAGGGTACTAATATATGGGTGTATGTCTGAATACTGTGTAGAGTAGTGGGAGTACTGTTGTCTATTATTATGTGATTGTAATTAACACATACTTTTAACACCTTTAAATTCCTGAATACTAATATGGTACATATGTATCACGTAGTAAGGTTTAGGTGTCAAAGCTAAAGCTCTTCAACCAGCTAAGAGCTTGAGTTTTATTGATTGCAGACTTATAGATCTGACTCAGCACAGGGTGTGTTGGACCTCTGCAGAGAAATGACTGCTTCCCCGCAGAAAACAAGGGTCCATCTCTACAGCCTGCTGGCAGGGGAAAGGCAATTCTACCCAGGCTGCTGTTGCTTTATAAAGAAAACAAATTGTAAGGGCTCCTGCACACGGGCAGTTTGGGTTGTAGCGCATAAAAACTGGGCCTATTGGGGCACCCTGAAGGCACAGCTGCAGCAGACAACCTACTGCCAGTAGCCGGTCTATTATAAAGACAGGTAAAATAAGAGGTGGCTGGATGCTGTTTGTATTTAGGGCCATATGCATTCAGGGATATATGCCTCTCACATGTAATTCCTGCATTCAAGGCATATGTCCCTGAACACTTACAGCCCTAAATGTGAGTACTGCTCATGAAAGTGTCCAGTCACATCCAGCCACTGTGCTTTTCAGCCTGTTATAGCTGTACGCTGCACCTGTGCTTCCCGGGGACCCCCTAAAACACCCATTTTTTATTATAAATAGAGATTGCAGCACTAAAAACAAAAAAAGTGCAGTGTGTCTACATAAATTACATACAATCCAGTCCAACAAAATTAAATATATACAAAAATACTGAAAGCCCAACAGCGCTCTATTGAATAATTGTGGACTATGATACCCTATATAGTCCCAGTCCCACTGTCCACTGTGAGAATCTTCACCCTGTGATCTGGGACCAACAAACATGTAACTTCCACCGAAGGCTGAAAACTCACCAGAAGGTTGTGCTGTCTAGTACTAGAACAGCAATGTGAGCTTGTGTAATGATAAAAGTCGCATAGTGCGATCCTCCAGGATATCAGAAAAGTCATTTGTCCTCCTCACCTCGCGTTCCACCAGATGTCAGTACATGCACTCTCATCACAAGGGGCCACCAGACATTAGCAATGGTGGCATGACCTCCAGCAATAGCACCTCTAACCCAACGTCGTCGTTTCCTGATGTACTGGAGGATCGCACTTTGGGAGTTCATCATTACACAAGCTTACATTGCTGTTCTAGTACTAGACAGCAACACCTTCTGGGTGAGTTTTCACTTCAGCCATTGGTGGAGGTCACATGTTTGTTGGTCCTGGATCACAGGGTGTAGATTCACAGTGGACAGAGGGACTATATAGCGTATCATAGTCCACAATTATTCAGTAGAGCGCTATTGAACTTTCAGTATTTTTGTATATCATATTTCATTTTGTTGCACTGGATTGTATGTACTTTATGTAGACACACTACACTTTTTGTTTTTCAGCGCTGCAATCTCTATTTATAGCACCTTAGGATCTTGGTATATCTGCATCCATTGCAAGCAGCTCTATTTATTCATTTTCTTTTTTTGGATTAGCGCTGACCTTACTTTGTTTTTTTTTGCATTTTGTACCCATTTTTTATGCTCTATGAGACAAACTGCCCATGTGCATGAGCGCTAAGAATCTGCGCACCTTCTATTTTTATCCACTTGGATTGTATATATAAACTGAAAGTTCATTTGTGCTTTAGGTTTCATGCACACTAGCTTTTTTATAAGCTCAAAAAAAAGCTAGAAAAAAAAAAAAAGAAAAAAACCCTGGATGAAAAACGCTGATAATAACATTTTTGTGCCGCCTTGTAGTACCGTTTAGGAGCATTAGTGTTTTATTAGTGTTTTTACAGAACATGAAGCAAAAAAAATGCTTGATAAAAGCTGTTAGGAGAGCTTTAGTAACATTTAGAAGCATTTAGGAGAGTTTAGGAGATTTCAGCGTTTTTATTTCTGCTGGGGAAACGCTCACAAAAACTCTACAAAAACATTTTTTTTTCTGCTCTTAAACGCTGAAGCTTGAAAAACACTTCTAGCATAAAGTAGTGTGCATGGACACATAGGATAACACTATTAGCTTCTAGGAGCAGAAAAACGCTAGTGTGCATGGAGCCTTGAATTTCATGCAGCACTAAACAAAGAGCTCACCATTCTAAACTATGGGGGGTATTTACTAAAATTGGAGAGTGGAAAATCTGGTGCAGCTGTGCACAGAAACCAATCAGCTTCCAGGTTTTGCTGTCAAAGCTTTAGGCTAGGTTCACATATGTGCGGGTGGTGCGGCAGCGGATCCACACAAAAATCCGTGCAGCACAAGCACAGAGGAATGCGGAGCCACGGGCGGGTGCCATTAATTCTAATGGCACGCCCCCCGCACTGTAAATCGTAACCGTACTGGGAACTGAGGTTCCCGTGCAGGCTGCGTTTTCAAAAGAAATGCAGGGACTTCTTCCCTGCGTGTCCAGGGGCACGGGAGTCCATTCAAATGAATGGGCTCTTGTGACCGCGCAAAACGCGGACCGCAGAAACGCGGATATGTGAACCAGGGATAATTGAACAAAGTAAAGTTAGAAGCTGATTGGCTACCATGTATATCTGCACCAGATTCTGAGTGCTCCAGTTTTAGTAAATTCCCCTCATTGCCTCATATACATAGCCCAACACCCAAAGTGATAGTAATTGTAGTCACAGCTGATACAATAAATTTTACTTTTGGACTTTTTCTTCTTTTTTTTTCAAATTTAAGCAGAGCTTGTTTTGTGGTACCTGATAGATCCTGAGCAGAGACATCCGCTCCGTGCGTCAACATAACCTTGAGACAGTCCGCACTGCCTTTGGTAGCAGCGAGGTGAAAGCTGAAATGAAAAGGCAGATTCATTTTACAAACTCGTTCAGTAGCTGCAGTCCATATCTGTCAATTCTTTCAGGAATTTTAAGTACAGAAACTCATGACACAAGAATTCCTTCATTTAATCTTTTTCTGGCACGAAAACAAATGCACTAAGTTGTCGGTTTAAACCACTTGTCTATGATGCTGCGTTTATGTGCACATTCATTTACACGGATATTACAGTCATTCTTTGTAGTTCTTTATTAACTGATCAGTTAAGTGTTAAGTGAGGTATCTTACCACCCACAGACAGCCTATTGGGCACATCCTCTTCTGGCTCTTTAAACTGGATTTAAAAAGGGCACTTAGGGGCGTACTGAGCTCAGTACTCAACAGGACCCAGGAACTGGGCTGTCTCCAACATAGCTTGCTTCCCTGGCAAGAACACCACACAGTCAAGTAGGCACTGCATACACTTCTGTGCAGCCAACAACCTTCAGTCTGAGAATCATTTAAATTGGTTGTAAACCAAAGAAAGCATATCCTTCTGTAGTGTGTGTCTGCCTCAATCCAAACCACCAAGTGCTCTCTCATTCCTCTGCTATCTGCATATGTCCCTTTTGACAGCTTGTGCCTACACCAAGGAATCCAGGGGGGGGTGGGCAGGGGAGCTCCAGCACAGAGCAGATGATTGACAACCTCAACTGTGCATGGTTCACAAAGAGCCTGCTGTGGAGCAGGGGGGGGTGTCCTTTCCCTCCACTCAGGTCTCAGATTACACTCAGCTCTCTTCTCTATGCTGTGCAGTGTATGGCATCAGATCCTGGCTCCCTGCCTTCTGGTGATCAGAAATGCTAAAAATGTGTGCTTTGAAAGGCTATCGAGTAGAGATTGATACAGATAAACAGGTAAAACTTATGTAGGTGGTTTTATTTCATCTCTGTGTATCACCTGAGACCAGTCACTTTATTGGGTATATGTAAGGGTTCACAACTCTTTTAAAGCTGAGTTTTCATATGGCTATTTTTACATACACTATATTGCCAAATGTATTGGGACTCCCCTCCAAATCATTAGATTCAGGTGTTCCAATCACCTCCATGGCCACAGGTGTATAAAATCAAGCACCTAGGCATGCAGACTGCTTCTACAAACATTTGTGAAAGAATGGGTCACTCTCAGGAGCTCAGTGAATTCAAGCATGGTCCTGTGATAGGTTGCCACCTGTGCAATAAGTCCATCCGTGAAATTTCTTTGTTACTAAATATTCCACGGTCATCTGTTAGTGGGATTACAACAAAGTGGAAGCAACTGGGGACAACAGCAACTCAGCCATGAAGTGGTAGGCCACGTAAAATGACAGAGTGGGGTCAGCGCATACTGAAGCGCAGAATGCGCAAAAGTCGACAACTGTCTGCAGAGTCAATAGCTACAGAACTCCAAACTTCATGTGGCCTTCAGATTAGCACACCAAGTACAATGCAAAGCGTTGGATACCGTGGTGTAAAGCATGCTGCCACTGGACTCTAGAGCAGTTGAGACGTGTTCTCTGGAGTGAATCTGATGGACACATCTGGGTTTGGCAGTTGCCAGGAGAACGGTACTTGCCTGACTGCATTGTGCCAAGTGTAAAGTTTGGTGGAGGGGGGATTGTGGTGTTGTTTTTCAGGGGTTGGGCTTGGCCCCTTAGTTCCAGTGAAAGGAACTCCTAAGGTGTGAACATACCAAGACATTTTGGACAATTTCATGCTCCCAACTTTTTGTGGTGGCAGTAAAACTGACAGTCAGTCCTAGAGCACAGTGACCACAACAGGTCATTTGCTGTGCAGCTCCTCTGTTCAGAAAATGTCTTGTATTATTTTCAAAGAAAACAAGGTGTACTGTGATTGGAAAAAGGATGTATGAACACTTTGATCTCTACTGTGATTTTTGTGCTCCAGCAACAATTCACCACCAGAACTTCAGCGAAAGCCAATATTGGGGTATGCATTACTAGATGGACCTTATTGGTACCTATGCCCTAATTCTGCCCACATTAAAGCTTAACTTTTACACTATGATATAGCCTGCTTAATGGATACAAATTCTGCATCTATCAAATATCCTTCACAAACTGCTGTCCAAACCAAACCACAATGCCCCATACACTAGACTCGCTAACAATGTGCAGATTATCTCCAGAGAAGGCCTTTGCTAGACCTTCCCACTTTATAATCAGATTACATAGGAATTCCCCTAACTTTGTGGCCAGAGAGCTGCTGGCTTGGATGCTGTTCATGGGCGATGGAAAAAGAGATCTTTTAAGTGTTCCAGCTGTGCATATGGGTCGTTCTTACAAATGTTCTTCAGCCTATCGACTGCAAACTGGAGCAGAAGTGAATCTGCTGAAACAGCGATCCATCCATCCATCATTTACAGCTGCTTTGGTTTCCATTTTATTCTTTATTTCAGGTGCTTATATAGCGCCGTCAATTTATGCAGCACTTTACATATATATTGTACATTCACATCAGTCCCTAACCCTCAAGGGGTGTACAATCTAAGGTCCCTAACTCACATTCATACATACACATACTAGGGACAATTTAGACAGGAGCCAATTAACCTACCAGCATGTCTTTGGAGTGTGGGAGGAAACCAGAGTACCCGGAGGAAACTCACGTAGGTACAGGGAGAACATGCAAACTCCAGGTAGGTGGTGCCATGGCTGGGATTCCAAACCTATGACCCTAGTACTGCCAGACGGAAGTGCTAATCATTTAGCCACTGTGCTGATCATCCTCAAAGAATATCCTTTACTGTCATATTGTAAAGGTCAACTGTAAAAGGTGAACATTTACACTACTATTCATCTCTATGGCAGATGTGCTTTTGTGGAAATCCCACAAAATTGCATGAGGGACCTTTTAAAAAATGACCTGGATAAAAATGAACAAATGGGAAGAAAAGCATATACTGTATTTTATCTATATAATAGGATTAAAAATCCCATTTCAGTCTTTGCAGATGACACCAAGCTGTGCAGTGAAATAACGTCCTTACAGGATGTCTCCAACTTACAAGCCGACCTCAATGCTCTGTTTAATTGGGCAACTATGTGGCAAATGAGGTTTAATGTTGATAAATGTAAGGTTCTGCACTTGGGGGCTAAGAATATGCATGGATCATACATACTAGGGGGGGTACAACTGGGGGAATCAATGGTGGAGAAGGATCTGGGAGTTCTGGTAGATCACAAGCCTAATAATGGCATACAATGCCAAGCTGCGGCTTCTAAAGCGAGCAAAATCCTCTCTTGTATTAAAAGAGGTATAGACTCCAGAGAGAGATATCATATTACCCCGGTACAAATCATTAGTAACACCTCATCTGGAATATGCAGTTCAGTTTTGGGCACCAATTCACAAAAAGAACATTGGGGAACTGGAGAAAGTACAGAGAAGGGCAACCAAACTGATAAGAGGCATGGAGGAGCTCAGCTATGAGGAAAGATTAGAGGAACCGAATTTATTCTCTCTTGAGAAGAGGAGAGTAAGGGGGGATATGATCAACATGTATAATACATAAGGGGGGATATGATCTCCATGTATAATACATAAGGGGGGATATGATCACCATGTATAATACATAAGGGGGGATATGATCTCCATGTATAATACATAAGGGGGATATGATCTCCATGTATAATACATAAGGGGGATATGATCTCCATGTATAATACATAAGGGGGATATGATCACCATGTATAATACATAAGGGGGGATATGATCTCCATGTATAATACATAAGGGGGGATATGATCTCCATGTATAATACATAAGGGGGATATGATCACCATGTATAATACATAAGGGGGGATATGATCTCCATGTATAATACATAAGGGGGGATATGATCACCATGTATAATACATAAGGGGGATATGATCTCCATGTATAATACATAAGGGGGATATGATCTCCATGTATAATACATAAGGGGGGATATGATCTCCATATATAATACATAAGGGGGATATGATCTCCATGTATAATACATAAGGGGGATATGATCACCATATATAATACATAAGGGGGGATATGATCACCATATATAATACATAAGGGGGGATATGATCTCCATGTATAATACATAAGGGGGATATGATCTCCATGTATAATACATAAGGGGGGATATGACCTCCATGTATAATACATAAGGGGGGATATGATCTCCATGTATAATACATAAGGGGGGATATGATCACCATGTATAATACATAAGGGGGGATATGATCACCATGTATAATACATAAGGGGGGATATGATCACCATGTATAATACATAAGGGGGGATATGATTACCATGTATAATACATAAGGGGGATGTGATCTCCATGTATAATACATAAGGGGGGATATGATCTCCATGTATAATACATAAGGAGGATATGATCTCCATGTATAATACATAAGGGGGGATATGATCACCATGTATAATACATAAGGGGGGATATGATCTCTATGTATAATACATAAGGGGGGATATGATCTCCATGTATAATACATAAGGGGGATATGATCACCATATATAATACATAAGGGGGGATATGATCTCCATGTATAATACATAAGGAGGATATGATCACCATGTATAATACATAAGGGGGGATATGATCTCCATGTATAATACATAAGGAGGATATGATCTCCATGTATAATACATAAGGGGGGATATGATCACCATGTATAATACATAAGGGGGGATATGATCTCCATGTATAACTACATCAGTGGTTCATATAGTGAACTGGGTGTAGAGCTATTCACCCTGAGGTCATCACAGAGGACAAGGGGGCACTCTTTATGTCCAGAGGAAAAGAAATATAATCTCCAAACATGGAAAGGTTTCTTCACAGTGAGAGCTGTGAACATTTGGAATAGACTCCCTCATGAGTTGGTTCTGGCCAGCTCAGTGAATTGCTTTAAAAAAGTCCTGGATTCTTTCTTAGATACACAGAATATAACTGGTTACTATCATTTATAGG